GTCGGCCGGGGCGGCGGGGTAGTTGGTGCGCACTCAGGTCTTGTGTGAAAACTGCAGCTCTTGTCGTAGTTTTATGATTGCAGTTCGCCACAAATCTATCGATGAAAGAGCAATGCAAATTGTTGTTACTAATGATAGCAATGTAGTAACGCATTGCACAGCGCAGCCATCGGTGTGCAGATGTGTGGGGTACCGCTGGCGGTGACAAGCAGCCATCGGTGTGCAGATGTGTGGGGTGTCACCGGCGGTGACACGCAGCCATCGGTGTGCAGATGCGTGGGGTGCCACCGGCGGTGACACGCAGCCGTCGGTGTGCAGATGTGTGGGGTGCCACTGGCGGTGACACGCCGTCCGCACGCGGCAGGTTTCAAGCGGCTGGACGGGTTCCGGATTCGGACGCGGCTGGAGCCGGGCCCGTCGCTGCGCGAGCGTGTGGAGCTGCGCCGGCGCGCCGAGCAGCTGCACCAGGAGTTGCTGGCCGCCGGGCAGCCGCTGCCTGACCAGCCCGACTGGAACGACTGGGAGGCCGTCAAGCACCAGTTCGACACGGTGGACCATGTGATCGATCTACACGGCCACATCATCGGCATGTGCCTCAGCCCCAACCAGAGGTAAGAGCGGCCGGGCAGCCGCAGGGAGGCGGCCAGGGCACCAGTGGTCGGGGGTGGGGAATCCCGGCCGCGTGTGCATGGCGGGGCGTGGAGAGCCGATTGTATTCAGAAACAAGTGTCTAACATAGGAAACGGCGATAGATAGGAAAGTGTTGTATAAGTAGGTGGACTTTCTTCCTCAACTAATATCTACAACATCGTGGGACTTTGCATGTGGATCGACATGCGTCACGAAGGGACGCCCACTCAGAAATCACTACGCTTGGCCCGCGTACGCCAGGCCCCGTCGGCCGGGAGTTCGCCGCACGCTTGCACTAGTCTTGGCCATTCGGCTCTGAATTGAACTAGATCTATCACAAAAAAGCTGTTGACGTTCCAGGTGGAATCGATTGGATAATGCTTGGGAATAAAGAGAAAGAAAGCGACTTTCTGTTGCATAGAGCGGCGCCTTTAAATGCCAACAGCTTCACGTTCGTGTTCTGAACTGAAACCAGTACCAAAAAAGTAGAGCGCCACCAAAGTAAGGCCAAACAAAGTCGCACGTTGTCAATAGCTTTAAAAGGTCACTGAGTGACCGGTGCGCCTGATGAATATCATTTTATGCCGATTTCGTATCCAAAGTCATCGTCTCTTTTGAGTAACAAACAAACAATAGATATCGTAACATTGTCTCTGCAGACCTTCGATGTGACAGCTCAGCAATCTGGCATGACTCGACCATTGTTTTGCAAAAGGCCTTGCAATAGTCGGACCAACTTGTTTATGTGGTTACCAGCGAGATTGGGTAGCGACGTTACGTAAACGAGTGTTGTTTATCGTCGATTTCGTCAGATTTCGCGGCGCTTGCATATGCCTTTTAGGTATCGCAGGCTTACCGCCTGAGCAATGGCATTACGTCCAGCAACGTTGTACGGCAGGTCTTGACGATATTTGGTCTTCCAAAACAAGCTTTCTCTATCTCCATTGTGAAAGATCCAGATGGAAAATAATGCTTAAAAAACAGGGTATCGGTCGGGGTAAATTCGGAACGAAACATTTGTAAGTCAACAGCAGTATTGCAACTCTTGTTGCTTGTCTGTCATTTACGGGACCGTAACGTTAGCAGTGTTTTGCGTTCAAAAATGAGAACAATGGCTGTAACCCGCGGCTGCCTTGGAAAAAGGTGAGGGAGGGCCGTTGGGGAGGGGCAGCGGAGGCAGCAGCAGCCTATCCTTCTCGTTTCGGAAATGACTTCTGACCCCCCACCTAAAAGGTCCACCAAATTATTGGTACCCGATGGATAATCAATCTGATACATTTGGGCGATTGGCTTCTCGATTTTTGATAGGCTGTCTCGCGTTCTTTTGTTTTATTGGATCCGGGCACAGTTATGACGTCATCCGTGCTGACTGACGGCGGTCTTTGCCTATGCATGCAATGATGCGTAGTTTCCCTTCTGGTCTTGCTATTTACTGTAATTTATGGGTCGGCGTAAGTTTGCCAATCATGGCTGATAACTCTAAGTAGGTCACATCACGTTGCCATTGGGGTTATGTGAGGTCGACGCATATACGGCTTACCAAAATGGCTTGTCACGAGGGATTGCGGGCCTGCTTTGCTAAGCGGCGGGCGTCTATGGACGAGCTTTGTGTTTGCATTATTTTGGGATGCATTCTACACCATCCCCTGGATTCCCGGCCGATCCGACGTCCTCGCTGCCCGGATGACCGACGGCAACCGGGCGTGATGTGCCGACCGCCAGGGGCGTGGGTGGGGCGTGGGAAACAAACTTCCGCACGTCAGCCAGTTTTTTGTGTGGCATCGTGGGCTGAATTGCGTGCAACTTCGACGGAAATCAGCGGGGCACCCACCCTTCGCCGTGGTAATACGCGTTTGCGTGCTGGGCGATGGCTGTTCCAAATGCCTAAATATTCCCATGTTATTGGGGATGTTTAGGACATCCTTCATGTTTTGAGAAGCTGCCACTGCAAATGTCAGATCTCCGTTATTTTGCCACTGCCGCTTGCCAATGCTGCTGCAATATTTCTGTGTTATCAGGCTCTTCGGTAACTCCAAACAACCTAATCTGACACGGGTCACCTTCAGCTGAGAGGACTCCGCCGGGGCTGACTTGCATCGTCGATTTTGAATGTTTATCAACATTGGAGGATTCCGAAGTTCAAGACCACTTTTGTGTCGTGTTTCGATGCTGTGTTACCGTTACTACGCCCTGGAATGTACTGATCCTGAGGCCCGTTTGGGAGGCCTGGCGTCGGTGCAAGGCTTTGCGGCAATTTTGTCGTGTGTGACGTAATTGGTCACGTGCCAGGTCTGATATCAGTCAAGTTCTGAGTAAAATCGACCAGGCCGGTCGATACGGATTGTCATTTGACATGTAACAGTTGCGTCTGAGATTCCAGACGCGGTCTAGATTTACCCACCCCCGTCCTTTCGCGTATGACGAAATGCCCCGGACAGTTTCGGGCGAGGAACGCTTATGGCCGTGGTGTAGTCCAATACCTTGGTTCGTGTGGAGAAGGTCTGCTTTCTGTAATATCTGTGGCTTTTGTACACTGATTTTTTTTGCAAGACGTTGCTTTATGAATCAATGATGTTTGTAAACCATGGTTCACAAGTTTCTCCAAATTTGGTAGATTTTAAGGAGCGTGTATCACTGCGACAGAGTCTAGTGTGCTGATCAGCTGGATTGCGCTGCGGCTGTGGGCGCACCGCAGCAGTCTTGCCCCTGACCGTCAGGGCAGCTGGGCCCTGCTGCGACCGGCCTGTAGCTCTGCTGATTGGCAGGTACCTGTACGTCAACACCAGGCCGTGGCCGGACAACTACGTGATCGAGAACCCGCTGCACCCGCCGCCCATCGCCCGCGAGATCGACATGCATGTTATCGACGTGGTGCGTGACGGCTGTGCGCGGCCCCGGCGGCGCGGGGCCGGACAAGCTCCGACTGACGTCAGCACCTCGCCCTAAAACACTGCAGCCGGTGTTGTTATGCGCGGTTCAGGATGGCTGGGTGACTTGCTGTTGGGCATATTTGGTGGGGAATGTAATGGCGTACTGTTAGCTCTCACCCGGGAGGACCGGATGCATGGTGCCAGTTCCTTTTTCCGCAGGAGGATAAGATAACTAAAGGTTGGGTGTTCTTTTGAGAACATCGGTTGGCTTGCTGCCATGACTGTTTCAGGACAACCGGGTGGTTCGCTGTTATTTGCCCTTCCTTCAAAGGGATGTTGAGAGATTGTGGTTTTTTCTTCGACGAAAAAGCAATGCATCTTCAAACATCTGGTGGCTACTACGTGGTGCATGGTTTTCTATGTGCCGCTCCGTATCCGTTGCCCATGCCTGTTAGCCATGTGTTTTTGCTGCAGGCCACCAAGAAGCGAATCGGTAAGACCTACCGAGCGCACAAAGCCTACACATGCAATGAGGGCTGCTTCTTCCTCTTTGTCGACGTCGCAAAGCAATTCGTGGCGAGGTAATTATGATGTTCGTCCAGCTCATGTGAGGCAAGTGTTGAGCTGAGTTGAATCATGGCCTCCAGCTCGGGTGAAATCTTGAGCCAACCGGTCCTGGCCGGTCCCGACCGGCCCCAACTAAAAGATTGGTAAATACACGTGAGAATGCCGCTGTGAGCCATCTGATCTCCGGCAGGCTTGATACCATGTCAAAGGCTCTGAGCCTTGCTCTGGGTAGTGTGCTAACATGCCGCCTTGTAGTTTCGCCGTGACATTGACTACTTCTCTTGTGTCTGGCGACACCTAGCTGCATGTAATGACGCCTATCAGGAGACGAGAGAGAGAGAGAGAGAGGAGAGAGAGAGAGAGAGAGAGAGAGGAGAGAGAGAGAGAGAGAGAGAGAGAGAGAGAGAGAGAGAGGAGAGAGAGAGAGAGAGAGAGAGAGAGAGAGAGAGAGAGAGAGAGAGAGAGAAGAGAGAGAGAGAGAGAGAGAGAGAGAGAGAGAGAGAGGAGAGAGAGAGAGAGAGAAGAGAGAGGAGAGAGAGAGAGAGATAGAGAGAGAGAGAGGAGAGAGAGAGAGAGAGAGAGAGAGAGAGAGAGAGAGAGAGAGAGGGAGAGAGAGAGAGAGAGAGAGAGAGAAGAGAGAGAGAGAGAGAGAGAGAGAGAGAAGAGAGAGAGGAGAGAGAGAGAGAGAGAGAGAGAGAGAGAGGAGAGAGAGAGAGAGAGAGAGAGGAGAGAGAGAGAGAGAGAGAGAGAGAGAGAGAGAGGAGAGAGAGAGAGAGAGAGAGAGAGAGAGGAGAGAGAGAGAGAGAGCAGGAGAGAGAGAGAGAGGGAGAGGAGAGAGAGAGAGCGAGAGAGAGAGGAGAGAGAGAGAGAGAGAGCCGGAGCGGAGGGAGCGGAGCCGGGGCCGGAGGCCGGGCCGGGGCCGGGGCCGGGGCCGGGGCCGGGGCCGGGGCCGGGGCCGGGGCCGGGGCCGGGGCCGGGGCCGGAGCCGGAGCCGGAGCCGGAGCCGGAGCCGGAGCCAGTGTGCAGGTGTGCAGGTGTATGGTCTGGTAAGCGTCTGGCGCGTCCGTGTGACTTACGCAGCCGCGTGTGGCCGGCAGCGGGGCCGAAGATAAGCGCGCCTACCTCTGGGACCGGCACCACACGGCCTGCCTCAGCAAGTACCCGCACGACGACGTGGTGAACGCTGTGGCGTTCAGTCCGGCTGACCCCGGCGTTCTGGTCACCGTCTCCGACGACTGTACCGTCAAGGTCAGGCCGCACTCCCTTCAGGTCACTCTTGGTCACTCCAGGTCACGGCGGGTTACTCTGGATCGCTTTAAGTTACTCCGGGTAGGGCGGGGCCACGTTCGACGCCCAGTGTCGGGGTTAGACCGACGGGAGGGTAAGTGGTTGGAACGGCTGGTCAGCCGAGGACAGTTTGAGCGCCACTTTACTGACGTGGCACCGTGTTGGGGCTGGTGGCACGAGGCAGCTGAGCTGGTGAGGCTCACGCACGGGCACAGTGAGCGTTAGCTGGGAGCCGGTCCGTCTCGTCAAACACAGTGGTGTGTTGGGTCTAGGGCTGTCGCCAGTCACCGCTTGAACTCCAGTCCAGCCTCGCCGACGCCCGACTTCACCATTGCCTCGCTGGACGCCGGCGCTGACGACGCCGCCGCGGGCTGGTGTGTGGCTCGCTGTCGGCGCGGCCCGTCCGCACCAAGCGGGTGCCAGCTCTGCCGTGTGTCGGCAGGTGTGGCGGTCTCGGCTCAACTGCCAGAGGCTAGGCATCGACACCGCCGAGCTGCCGCGCTGTGAGCGCCACCGGCGGCGGCGGCGCGGCCGCTCCTGCGGCGGCTGCGCGGCGCCGCCTGGCGACCGGCTGCCGGCGCAGACCTGAGGTGTGCGCTGCACCACGGCCGGGCCGTGTCGCGCCGCTCCCTGCTGTGAGCGGCCGGTGGGTGTCGGCCGACGGCTGAGCGCCACAGTCCAGGTGCCGATGGCGCTCCTGGGCTGGGCTTGTGCGGTGCTGAGCCTGTCAGGTGGTCTCTCGTTGAACGTCATGTGCTGTTTTTGCGTCCCGCCCCCCCCCCCCCCCCCTCCGGCTGGAGTGAAGCGGCTGGGCCTTACTGGACCGTCCCAGGTGGTGGAGATTGTCGATATGAGGGGAACGGCGGTGCTGCCGTGTCTGTGCTCATGTTGTTACTGTGTCACCAGCAGGAGCGGGCTCGAGTTGGTGGGAAAAAATATGACTGTCTGGACAAAGAGGCGTCTGGCGTTTTTGTTTTTGTTTTTTGCCTGTTTGAAACAGGTTTCCATAGTCGCAAGCTGAAAGAAAATATGGTGGCAATCGCGATGAAACAACTATTTGAATCGTTAGGGAAACATCGAGCGAAACAAAGCCGACGCTTAATGCGGTTCAGGTTATTACTCTCCATCAACTGGTGTTAACTCGTGTCAGGACATGCTCATAGGATGCTTCGAAAGGCTCAGTTTTTATTTTGTTTAGACTTATTCAACCTGTTATTTTAAGGCCCCGTTTGCAGCTGGGTATCGCAATGCCACCACGGAGCTCCAAGCATTTAAGAGAACTGATGATACCTTTAATCAAATGAGCCCCTTATGAGTGCGGCCGTCGGCATGCATTGTTTGCACTCCCGGAAGAGACACCGTGGTTCGAAACCACAGGGTTTCGTCAAGTGCAATTGCATTTTTGTATCTGTGTCCTATTGGGCGTCCATGAAGTGTGCTCCTGTTTTGTGTACTGATAACATGGTGACTCGTCCATTACGCGTCCGTGGATTGGCTTTGCGTCGTGTGCCGTTCGAGGGATGTTGAACTAAATGTCTGTGCCGCTGATCGGTCTAATACATTTTATTTTTGGTAATTTCTGCCGTCGTCCTTAATTGCATTTCAATGAGAAGGTGAGACCAGGCCATGCCATAATCCAGTGTTAGTTGATATTTCACTTCACGATAACAATTGCAATGATTGTTGCTTCGGATGTTTGAGCCTCCTGTGCTTTTCATAGGCGTACGGATACCTTTTCCACCCGTGGCTGTCAGTACGAGAAATGCGGGAGCACCCAAAACCCAGAGGGCTTTTTTGGCCCGTGGTCACACAGTGCTCCTGGAAATACTCTGTACCTTGCAAACTCCCTCGTCAACCAGATGAAAGCATGCATGCGGTTGGTTTCCAATGATGGCTCCTGGTTCCAACTGGCGTTTCGTGAAAACAAAACAATTATATACGGTTCTCATGCCCTATGACGCAAAAGCGGAACTTGGATCCTGGCTCCTGGCGGTTCTTTTGCAAAGGGCATGCCACATAACGGTTTCCACTAGTTCCCTGGCGAAAACTGGACCCTGGATTCTACGGACCCCGGCGCCGCTATTAGTTCTTTTACAGTGCCCGAAGCGAATTCTGTATATTGTTTTGCAAAGAAAGACCAGAACGCTGGCTTTCATTGGTTTATTCGCAAACACCTTAGCACTAACACAACAGTCTTCGCAATTAAGATTTGCAAGCGATTTTACACACCTGGTTCCCAGTGGTTCTTTGGCCATAAAACGAAAATTAACCGGCCTGTTTAGTACCAACTCCCATGGATCATTTTGCGATAGAACGCTATGGAGCCTGGGATTTTCGTGAAAGTGAACCCTGAATATTGGTTCTCGTTGTTTGAATCAAATGATCAGAGTCTCTGTGATCGCACAAATGCTCCCAATCGTTTGCACTGAGGACACACATCCCAATGCAGGAAGGTTGTAGTAAGCTGTCAAGTGTACTATCGAGGAACATTATTCACATAGATAAGACAGTAGTAATAGCCTCATTCCTCGGAGGAAAGCCAGAACTTCTGACTTGACTTCTGCTATTGTTTCGCAAAAAGGCATGTTGCCAAAATATCAACGCATCTTATCTCCATCCTTTTTTCTCCGAAGAATGAGTCCATCACTACCGTCTTACGTAAGTTTTTGTAGTCACACGTGGTGTTTGAGCTGGGGCAGAGGCGGTGTTTGCGCTGCGCTGCATACTTGTGTCCACGGTTTAGCGCTGTGTATTGGCGTTCCGCCGTCTGTGATCGATCACGTGGTGTTTGAGCTAGGGCAGAGGCGGTGTTTGCGCTGCGCTGCATACTTGTGTCCACGGTTTAGCGCTGCGTCTTGGCGTTCCGCCGTCTGTGATCGATCACGTGGTGTTTGAGCTGGGGCAGAGGCGGTGTTTGCGCTGCGCTGCATACTCGTGTCCACGGTTTATCGCTGTGTCTTGGCGTTCCGCCGTCGGTGATCGATCACGTGGTGTTTGGGCTAGGGCAGAGGCGGTGTTTGCGCTGCGCTGCATACTCTGTCCACGGTTTAGCGCTGCGTCTTGGCGTTCTGCCGACGGTGATCGATGAGTTTGTTGGTACTGGGCTCTTGACGTAGTCTCCAGGTGGCCGCTACCACACATGGACATCTGTTGAACTAAGTCATTGCCAAGTTTAGTTGTACTGTTACAATACGCGTTGCAAGAAAACACCCTAGTTGCGCTAATTCACCACCAAGTCTTCGAAATGAAACACTGCCCTGACAGAATTGACCAAATGAGAATATCGGCAGAGCACGAGGTTATTGTCAACGGCCTTTGTGACAGCAAGGAAATTGCAATAATCCGCTTTGCTGCGCAACTGCCCCAGGCATTTTGCCAGCACCCTGAGCGATTTGAGTCATCACGAGCTTTGCAAACTACCTGTTTGATCCGCGAATCTAAGAACTGAGTGAGTGATCACGGCTTACGGAGGTCTGAAAAAGGCGCGAACAAGATTTTGCACTTTCCCTGTAGCACATCCGTTCGTTCGCTGCTGGTCACTTCAGTCACTAGGTCACGCCCCCTCCAAATGTTTCCCTGCCACGTATCCCTTTTTATACGGGTGTCGGGCATGGCGATGGCTGTCGTGATTGCTATCAGCATGCTTCAATACACAGGCTGAATGCAATCTGCAACCACCGCGGATGCAACGCATGATTGAAGGTCTGCGCACTCCGATGGAGGCGCGCGCAGAGTCGCTTTTATTTTACAGCACAACTCATGCAAATTTTCGCAGCACCGGCGCAGAACGTGCATGGCTTGTATCTTTCACTTTTTTAACTTTTTCATTACTAACTGAGAAAAAAGATTTGTATCAAGGAATTATATTCGCCACAGTTCAAACCGAGCACTTGGCAGAGGGCAGAGTTCGAGCAAGTCACCCAGAACTGTACGCCAGCCCGCGGCGGCGTCACCCGCGTGTGACAACGGCCCGCAGAGCCCGTGGACGGCATACGGCTTATGGACGACACAGCAGATGCAGAAGTTCGTCACAGCACCACGGGCGTGTCCCAGCACGTCATGGATCTCATCAGCCAGCCGCGCTCAGTCCGCTGTTAAGACGTCGACTGTACAGCCAGCGCCCCAGAAAGCCGTCCTCCTCTGCCGGCCTGCACGCCCTCGGGCGATGACCGGAGGCGGCGCCGTGTCGTGGAAGGAGCGTGCCGCCGCCTGTGCTGTGGGAGTGTCGGTCCTCGGCGTGGGGTGGGCCGTTGCAGGTGACCCTGTCGGACGCCATAGGCCGGCGTGCTGCCCGGCGCGGAGCGGCAGGACTTGCGCGCGGCCCCGTCCGTCTCCGATGCGAGGCACGGCCGCCGTCTGGACAACGGTGATAAGTCAAACATTCTTGCAGCTGATATCAATTTTTGTCTGCATTGAGAAACAATAATCTACCGTTACAGAGATCAAAAACAGTGTTACGACCGTATCATATGAGTCTTTGCTTGTTTATTGATCATATGAAGCTGACTTTTTTGCTTTACATTTTGTACCGGGGAATTGATGTCGTTTTGAGAAGAGCGCGCATGTGAATGGATGCCAAGATGCATGTAACTTCGGCGCGACGTACCGTGGGAAATGTAGTCAGGCATCGGGCCTCGTTCATCACAGCAGCAGCAAACCTGCAAGAGAGCACGCGTCATTTGCCAGGAATCTGCTGTTCGGGCCTGGTGGCCCGGGCTTGTGTCGGAGCACTGCCGCTGCTCCTGCAGTTGGCCTGCTGCCGTGGGAGCGTTAATCCGCTCGCCGTGGAGGGCGGTTGCTAACAGAACGAGGTCGTGGGCGCTAAGGCATCGTTAGAATTGGATAGCCTAACTGAAGGTTTGAGCTGTGCGCGCATTTGTTGGTGATCCTTGGAGAAAGGGTCTCGGGAAACCTGACAGAGGTGTCTTAATTTTATCTTTTATTACAAACACAGCGGCCACGAAATCTCACTCCGTTCTGGAACACGAGAAAGAAGGGGAACTTTGAGGTCCCGTCCAACGAGGTTCATTATAGAGCCCATATGAATGTCAACTTAGCGACAATTTTTTGGCGGGGAATCAAAAGGAAATGACATACACGATAGACCGGTGTCCTGAATGTGTAGGAAGGCACAATTGAAATATGTTCATCCACTACAGCACCGATACTGCGTTGCTGTCTTAGCTCCTTCGTTCGCGATGCCCAGGAAGTCAAGCTAGCAGATACTGATAGATTTTCATACCCCATGGCGACACATCCGACAGGTTTTGCGAGAATGCCTGCGACTTGTCAGCGCAGAACGCGCTGAGCCCAGATGATCGGCCTATCCGCACACTTTGACACATGATGCGCCAGTTCAGCGGGCAGGCCACGGATGCTGGTCCGAACCAATCCTTGTCGCTTGGCTCGTGTCGCGCGCCGCCTCCGGATAGACCAATGTCGAAATGGCCGACAGCGGCAGTGCAGACAGGAAATTGCAAGCTAGACTTTGAGCTTGACATCCTTGTGAAGGCGATAGTGTTTCGGGCCTTTGCTCGGTTACAGCCTCACGGGCCGCCCGTCGTCATCAAGTATGAAGTTGTGAGGACTGCGTCTTCGGCATTGAATTAGCATCGATTTGGTGAATGATGGGTCATTACTACTGTATCCAGCGTAGACGACATTCAGGTTTTCGGTGCGACAGAGCCCGTGAAGGACTTTTTGCATTTGTTTTAAATCCCCTTTTACTGTCACTCTACCAATGAGGCCGAAACCGTGTCGCAGCGCTGGTCACCGAACCATGAAAGGCGCATAGGTTGAGATATATACGTTTTGCTGACGCAGCTGTGACAAGTCAAAAGGCAATGACATGCTTCTAGAACCGCTTTGATGGTCCTGAGTAACTCAAATAGATGTAAACTGGACCAGCGTATTGAAGCTGACAACATAGCGCATGTTGGGAAGCATCCCTTGCCCGACGAGGATGTTTCAGAGGCCACTTACGGCTTTCTCCAGAATAACTTCCGGACCGAACGCTTTTGAACTCAGTGTTGAAATGCTGTTCACCTGAGTTATCAACATTATAGAAGTGTTGTAAAAAAATTTAAGCCTTTGACCTCTATAGTTCATGACCTATAGCCACTTTCACGAGTCACGTTGGTGAAATTTTGCTCAAAAGCAACACATAACGCTTAGTTCTCGCAGGAAATGTACTTCCACGAGTGTATCTTAAGTCCTGTTTTACATCTATATCACTCTGAAATGTATTACTATCGTTCTGGCTGCTTTTACCAGGTGAAGTCATCCAAGGCCAAACTAGGTCAAGCTTTGGCTTTTGCGACCAGATTGGCGTTTGTAGGTGACACGATTTCAGCCTTAACGGCACATATAATATCCATTGGTAAGCCTTTCCAAATGTTTTCCCATTGATATAGCTTGCCTAGTTCTTGATGTAATCATATGGGTCAATGCAACAGTTTCTTGCAACCATTTGATTTGACATGTCAGAGGTGGCATGTGGCGATGTCCACTTGAGTCTACCTGATAGAGCTTCCCAAGACCTTTTCGGCATAGACTTCCGCATGGTGCTTGTGTGCGTGCTTCCTGAGACACCAGGAGGGTCTAGGGCGCCATTTGAACTCATTTGGTATTATTTGACCTGTCAAAGGTCAGATTCACCGTTGTTAGGACGCTGATATCGAATGCAGTTTGACGAGAGCTTTCCAACGCTGTTTTCCGTACGGCTCTAGCTTGCTTAGGTCTTACGATCTTAGGAGGCTTTTGAGGCTCTACCCGAGTGGGGTGAGAATGAAAAAAATTACGTAGGGTGGCAGTTAATACGAATCTGTTCCTGCAGGTACCATAATCAGGCCGTGATCTTGTGCCATGATCAGAGTTAGGGTAAAGAATTCAGAGTTCTGACGATACTTAACGCTTGTTTTGACCATATATAACATGTGTTTCAGCGACATATGACGCATGATTTGACGATACATAACTCCCATGACCATTCCACCCATGCAGTAAATGTAAAGGTATGAGCACGTACCATACTTGTATGCTAATTTGGAAACGACGTAAAAGGATCGGTCTGTTCGTGGCTGGCCGTCATCATGCAAAGGAAGAGGTGATACCAGAGAAGAGAAAAAGAGCACACACATTTTCGACATCTCCGCCATTGGGTTGGGTAGGTGGCGAGGAGAGAGCTGTGCACTACTACTACTCACTCCTGTGCTGTCGAGCACCAGCAGCGATTGTGATTCTGCCATTGGGTTGGGTAGGAGGCGAGGAGAGAGCTGTGTACTACTACTACTCACTCCTGTGCTGTCGAGCACCAGCAGCGATTGTGATTCCGCCATCGGGTTGGGTAGGCGGCAAGGGGAGAGCTGTGCAACTTCTCACTCCTGTGCTGTCGAGCGCCAGCAGCGGTTGTGAGCGTTGAAGCGTCTCCTTCTTTTCCACCTTCTCTCTCCTCTCCTACATGAGGTGACATTGTGAATGCCTATGATGACATACTCTTTGTTCTCTGTCTTATCAATTCACCAGCGGGACTCCAACCGGAAAGTAATGGCTAGTCCCTGAAACTTTCCCAGTCGTCCTCAAACTAAACTAGCTAGTATCAAGCACAATGTGTTTATTGTTCTGTTCAATGTCAATACCCTTACACTTGAGCCTCAGTAGCCACACAAATGACTCACTAACTGATGCGGTAATTGTGAATCGGCGGACAATGCCCCTTACCCCTGAAGGTATGTGTTTCGTTTGAAGCTCTGTCAGTCTTGCGGCGATCAGCGTCACGTGCTAACTTGTATCAACCCATTTCTGTCTCAAGACTGGCTGGCAATGGCGGGATGAGGTAAAACCGGCGAGTCATGTAGGTGTATTTTTGTGATCACAAATTATTAGGGACATCCATGAAGTTAGCGACTTATTTAGCGACGAATTCCGATTTAACTGAAAACGCGTTGAATGGTCAATTAGGAGGCGAGAACATCGAATATATCGTCTATTTTCATTATGATACGAATTTTGAAGTTAAATTTAGGGTCAAATGTAGGCAGCTCCACATCACCAAAAACTGCCCTTGCTTTCGGGCTTCAAGAATCAGAATATTCACCAGGGCATGGCCTAGTGCCCGTCAAAAGTCTTGCCCTCTCAAGATCACTTTCAGGGTCAAATGCCAAAGAAACCCATATTATCCAAAAGTTGAACTTGAGATGTCATGACTATTAAACGGACGCTAGACAATGCGCTGATGAATATCCTGATGCTCAAAATTGAGTTCACCGTCCTTTAAGCCTGAATTTGACTTTGAAGTTACCCTTACCCCTGAAGGTATGTCCGTCCCGGTGGCTCAGATGGTCAGAGCGCCTGCCTTCCGATCCACCCTCCCGTGGCGGGATGGGTTCGAGTCACTTTAGGGCGCTCGCTATTTGCCCTTGGCAGGTATGGCCTGCGGCCGGTGGCAACGTTCGCGCTAAAGGCCAGTTGACTTCAGAGCGCAGGACGAACCGTGCCGAGCATTGCGGCACGTAAAGCTTTCGCCACTAAATTCTGCCGTTGCCTGGGATTGCGCGATCGGACGGTGGGGGTCAGGGCTCACCAGGGAGCTAGAATCGCTTTTGAGCTAGGGTGAGGAGTGAAAAATTACGCATAAAAAAGAGCATATAGGAGTGAAAAATTCACAAAAAACTCCATGAACTTTGAACAAGTTCATCAAGGATGACAGGAGGTCGCGTGCTACCGAATCCTGTCAACCAGTCACACCATAAGTTCTGCCACCTAGCGGTAAAAGTAGCGAGTAAGCGGTGATGAATCTTTAAAGATGACAGCACTTACTGTCACAACCAGCGCTATGCGTAATATGACTGTGGAGGGCACATAAGTGGAAACCGCTGTGAAGTCACTCAAGACACTTTCCTGAAAAAATATTTGGGCTCCATCATTTCTTGTATATCCCCCCACAACCCCAGCTGATTGGTGCGTACCCTAAAAGTAAATTTTGAATGCCTTCCTAATTCTGTCAAGGCATAAAAGCTTCCTATTAATATATTGCTTTGAGCTTTGCAGATGAGGAATGTATGATGAAATTCAACCAGCATTTTAGACAACAAGAGTCTTGAACCCATGCACATAAACACATTGCCAAACCTTACAAGTAACATCTGACATACTTTTGGCTTCTGTTAGAATGGGATGAGGAAATATTATGTCACTGGTTCTCACAAAATTCAAATACCTACCATCACTTCCATGAAAGTAATGTAACTAAGCCTAACCTAGAGAAGTTTTACCTCATCTCTTCATGACTAACCCATTTATATAACAGCAGCATTTGTGAGTTAATGATCCAGTAAAACTCCCATTGTTTCTTTCTGTGCAAGTAGCCAACTGAACCAAACTTAGGGTAGTCCATGTATTGAACATCATCTTATCATATCTGACTTATTTCCTGATAGCAGCCTTTGTGATAAAATCACAATACAGCTTGTTTTCAGCCAGTATCAACTCGCATTCTGGTTCAATTAATTTCTACCAGCTTGTTGACACCACAAGTTGACACCAAACGAAACAAAACCTAGCAGCCAACTGAGAGGACAGGCCTATGTATAAATTATTTACATCACTTCTAACAAGTTATTCTGACTGCCATGGTTGCTCTCTGTCAAGGGCAATAGAAGGTGCTCAACAAAACAATCTGTCTTACAACTGTAATATAACTTCAGGATGGCAGGCAGAACCAGTTTTGCTGCCCTGCCCTTTAAACTGCAGCAAAGGTAATAATTTAGGCTTGGCTTTCAACACTTAATTATAAAAAGCTTGAAATCTCGGCTTTACATTACAAAGGGGATGGTCTATTTGCTGACCACCTAGAGCTACCTTATACTGATGTAGTTATGCAGCTTAGGGTATTCTTGCCTAAAAATATTATTCATTCCACAGTACATTCATTTGCCCAGTCAGCAAACCATCACACAACATATCATCGCAACATCTTGAGACAGACATGATGGACCACTACAATAAACGTGGGACAAATGCTTACAAGTAGGGGAAAAATAGCTTCATTACATGTATTGTGGAATCAAAATTTGCGTCATAAACAAGGTTTGATGGATATAAAACAAAAATGGGCAAACCTGGTAACAAATCATGATTTGAAAGCAGGTCAAGTTCGCAAATAGGTGCCCCGCAAGGGAAAATTGCTGGCGGGCAGGCTTCTCTCTGCTCTCCCGAATAAAGCCAGTACCTTTCGCGTGGATTGCTGACAAATAAGACCATCCAACACAAACATAAAATATAATTGTCCGTCATACCCACCAACATACAGCATTAAAATGCTAAATGAGAAAGATAACCCCTGCTCTACACCGATGAGGAAAATAAAGCTTCGCTGGGCAGAATTTCGATGGTAAACACTACTGGATCGGCCGCGCCAGTTCTGTCCAAAACCTTCGGGCTGCAAAATATTTTAACATGGTGAGGCATTAAAGCTCGATCGGCTTCAATTTATCATTGCTGAGCCCCGCGATGAACCAAAAAGGCATCAAAACAGATGTTTAATTAGGCAAAACTTCCATTACACCTAATTTATTTCCTTCAAATTGTCTCCTTCATTTGCTATGAATTGTTCGCTCGTGGGTGCATACGAAACGTGTTTGGGCGGCTGGCGAATAAACCCCCTATATGTGTTGAATATGTACAAGTTTGCGATTGTATAATTTTTCAGTGAAATTTGTTTACATTTTGGGCTATAGACCGCATCTACTTAAATCATTAACAAGGCAGGATTAAAGTATTTGTATCACCTCTACATTAGACCAAGAAAAACAGCAGGGGATGAATAAGCACAAAGGCTTAGAGTTGCTCGGCCACATTGTTTTATTAAGGCACTTGACTAAAAATCTGTCAAAATGAGTGCTCAAGTGGTGAGATTTTGCCTTTGAACTTCATTTAGAAGACCTTTCTTGAGTTTTTTTCACGCCCACATTTCGTAAGCGGTGCAATTTAATAGCCAAGTCTCTTTGGATTAAAAGATCGCGTGGAGTAAAATTCTCTACCAGGCCCTGCGTGGTGCTTGCACGGTATGACCCCAAAAAATAGGAACGCATGAAAACCCTGCATTTGGCACACAGCTGTACAGGTTGATGGTATTTTGTACACAAACCAAGATCGAGCGCAACTGGATTGAGTCGGTGGAACTCCCGGGCTTGGAGGTAACTACTGTCCTTGCTCTGTGCATATAGGCATGATTAAGATGTAGATGAGGCAGAATGTGGCCCTAGGTGTCCAGGGTCAGTGGAGCCTTGCTTAGTGGAGCCCTTTATGCTTAGCGGTTTCAAGTGGGCTAGGACTTTGATGATATCTTAAAAACATGAGAAGAACATATAGGCTCAGTATGTGCGGTTAGACAATTTTAGGAAGGAGTGAAAAATTCACATAAAACATTGGGAAAAGGAGTGAAAAATTGCTCCTCATAGGGTGTCGCTTTACACCCGAAGTCGGCAATTCTAGGACACTGGGGCTCACACAACAAGCACTGCTTAGCACGAGCGCTGATACCAGAAATCCATCCATTGAAAGGGCTCGGATCAAATTTTAAAAATAAAAAGAAAGGGTGATTTTGATAGGTTAAGGCGTTGTGGTGGACGGTAATTTATGTGCTGCTGAATATTCTGATGCTTAAAATTCGAAATCGGTTGGTAGCTTCTGTGGTGATGTGGGTTCGCTGTCATTCGAACTCAATTTGACCACGAATATCAGGTGGTATTAAATATGGACCTCAGATTTGGTGTTCTCGTGCCACAATTCACCCTTTGATGCGTTTTTATTGAAATGGAAGTTATTCGCCAATTAAATCGGTAAATGCATCTTGTACTTCTCATGCATTTATTAGAGCCCTGCTGGTTCTCCCGCGAAAAGTTCATGTCGGTAAGAGCAAACGTTTCGCCAAACCAGTCTCACATATCTGTTTGTATCTAGCTATTCTATAACGTCTTTGGAGAGGGAAAACATCACGGTGGAATAGTTTCGCTTGTGAACGGCCAGTCACAGATTTGTGTTAAGAAACGAAAGCCAGAGTGTGAATATCACTAGCACTTAATTTTAGAATAAATTGAGAAAATTCCTTCTCTGTGGACTTAACTCCGATAATATCAGTCCTCCCCTGGTGTCTCGCACAGCTGACCGAGTCGTGCAGTTGACTTCGAATACCCAGTGTCATCCATCCGCCGTCAGGCTTCTTCTACTGTCTACCTGAACCATCACCAGGAGTGTCACTTTGTGTAACTCTGGGGAGGCTGAGGCCCAATAATGGCTCTGAATAACCCCGACCGTTAATGGTTCTCTGAGCCCCAAATGCACCTGAGCAAATAAGAAAATACTGGGCCTATGACTGCGCCGTTAATGGTTGTCTGAGCCCCAAATGCACATGAGCAAAGAAGAAAATACTGGGCCAATGACCCCGCCGTTAATGGTTCTCTGAGCCCCAAATGCACATGAAAAAAGAAGAAAATACTGGGCCAATGACCCCACCGTTGATGGTTGTCTGAGCCCCAATTGCACATGAGCAAAAAAAGACCATCTTTTGTTGGCTGACCATCCGATGGCGTCCACGGGGGCGCAGCACAGCCGGACGCGCTGTCAGCTGGGGTGAGGGGGGTGGTGTGAGTGGAGTGGCAGTCTGTTCATCAAGTGCGAGCTACACCTGACGCCCAGTCAGCCAGTCAGTCAACCGCGCTGCAGGTGGAGCGGCACGTATGCACGGCAGCAAATAGCTCGGCACCACCCCTGCCATCTGTGTCGGTTGTCTGTGCTACAGGTGTGGTGATCCCTACGTCTGAAACCCATAATTGTTAGCAGAAAATGAATTACCGGAGCAAATATGGGAAGCGCGAGTCGTAGATAAGAGGTGCGTGTCATAGATGGAAGGTGCGTGTCGTAGATAAGAGGTGCATGTCGTAAATAGAAGGCGCGAGTCGTAGATAAGAGGTGCGTGTCGTAAATAGAAGGCGCGAGTCGTAGATAGGAGGGTGCGTGTCGTAAATAGAAGGCGCGAGTCGTAGATAAGGGGTGTGTGTCGTAAGTAGAAGGCGCGAGTCGTGGATAAGAGGTGCGTGTCGTAAAAAGAAGGCGCGAGTCGTAGATAAGAGGTGCGTGTCGTAAATAGAAGGCGCGAGTCGTAGATAATAGGTGCGTGTCTTAAATAGAAGGCGCGAGTCGTAGATCAGAGGTGCGTGTCGCAGACGGAAGGCGCGTGTCGCAGATAAGAGGTGCCTGTTGTAGATGGAAAGCGCGAGTCGTAGCTGAATCCTCCTTCAACACGCAGACATCTAAATGTGTCCAAGGCTGCCTGGTGCGCGTGGGCTGAATTGATAAGTGGTTGTTTATTTGTGACGTCCCTAGGTGAGGTTGGAAATATGCTTTCATTTTACTGGTTGCAGGCACAGATCGTTCAGAGAGGGCAAGGGCTTCCACTTACGCGGCTAATGTTTTAGGACGTCTTCCTGCTGCAATGGTCTTGTATTCAAAGGCCACGAGGAGGACTGTGTATATCGAATAAGTCATATGTTCTTTGGCTTACCTAGTAAGATCATGCCTGCAGTGACGATCAATGCCGTGGCCGATATCGCCGTCAATTTGAGGACTTTCCGCCACAGGAGCTTTTGGGTCAACGTGGGGTCGACTAGACCCTGGCTTTCATCCGCCGACCTGTTCAGAGACCAACCTGTTTGAGACAAATCTAGGCCCTCCTGCTGGAAATATCGTCGTTTATGTGTATAACATGGGAAACATCAATGGCTGCCCATAATTGGAGTATGACGTAGATAAGTGAAGGCCGGGAAGAGACATGGTCAATGTGCGTTGGTACCCGCTTTCCGTTGACATGTAATTGAGTAGCGAATCAGAGCAACGCTTGCCCCAACATTCGACAGCTGTGCCAACATTGTGATGCATTTTAGGCCGTGGCCTCCGACAACTGACCTGTGACCCGACAGCGTCCGGCCGTCATCGGTGACGTCGACTGCCGTAACCTGGCGGCAGGAGGTGGCCGAGCCGAGCCTGGCGGACACGCACGCGGTGCGTGTGGCACCCTCGGGCGCCACGGACGCGCCCGAGTGCCGCTGCGAGTCGGCTGACGAGCGGCCCGAGTCAGTGCCCGCGCCGAGGAACGCCGCCGGCGTCGCCCGGCTTCGGTTGACGCTGGCCGCCGATGATGGGCTTTCTTCGCACGGGATGAGCTCCATACTAGCTGACGTGCCGGCCGACGAGCCGAGTGCCGACGAACTGGCGTTGCTGGCTGAAGCTGATGCTGGCGCGGTCGCCAGCGCCGGCGTCGGCCGGGCGTCGGAACTGGGCGCCGGACGGTCGGCCGGGCCGCGGGCGGACGGCGGACGATCGGGCGTGCTCGGATGACAGCCGTACGCCGCCGCCGGCCGGAGGGTGAGGCACCGCGGTGAACGGGAGTCGCCGGCTGTGCGACCCGGCGCCGGCTGGGCCGGACAGCCGTGTGAGGGGTGTGGCGCCGCCTGCACCGCGCCGCTCCGCAGCCGGTGCGTCGACAGGATTTGCGACAGGCGCTCCATAACGCTCGTGTGCGAGGCAGAGGCGGGACCATTGGTCGTGCCGAACCGCTCGTACTCGTTGGTTACGGTCTGTGCCTTCATCTGCGCAAGCTCGGGGAACTTGGCCTTGTCCAGGACTGGCCGCGAGGATCGGTCCACCTGGTCCCAGTCGGCACCGTCCGCGCTCCGTCTCCTGGTCGCGCGCGGAGACTTCGCCTTCTTCGGCGGCTTAGCGGACAACATGGCCTCGATGACGTCGTCGATGGTCTCCACGTTACCGCTGTCGAAGAGAGAGCGGCCGGCGGCTGGGCCGGCGGCGGCGGCGCCTTCGGAGACGTCGCTGCGCACTGAGGACGCCTCCGTGCCGCTGCTGGAGTGCGCGCGCCGGCCGTCTGCCTCCCGAGACGTGGCCAGTGAGTCGACGCCGCTGTGCGGCCGTAGCGTGGCCTCATCGACGGGTGTTGGCTCGAAGCCGGTCTCCTGACTGCTGCCACGCGTGTTCACCCGCGGGTGGTACGGGTATGCGTCATCCTCGAACTCCGAGTCCGAGCTGGAGCCCTCGGCCGGTGGCACAGAATGTCCGCTCTCACTCCCGCTGGCGAGTCGCGGCGGCTCCAGGTGGCCGCTCCGCGGCAAGATCCGCTCCAGACCTTGCACCTCCTCCCAGCGCTCCAGCAGGCTCTTGCGGCGCGGCTGCGGTTCCCTGGTGCCATGTCGGTTGTCGGGACTGGGAGACTGCTGGAACTTGCCGGCTCCGCGCTCGCCGGACGACCGGTCCGAGTCGCCGTTCGACATGCTCTCGCCGCTCTCGGCCACCGGCGGCAAATCATCCGCCAGGACAGAGCTGCGCTCGGTCCGCATCAGCGCCTGCTCCGAGCGGCTGTACGGTCTGGCCGGCTCGGTGAGCGCTTCATTCGTTGATAGTCTGTCGTTAACTGTGGCCTTGCTGGCTGAGAGGTGGCGGCGAATGGATGTGCGACGAAGGCTGCTGGTCCGTGCCGTCGGTATAGGAGAAGAGTTTCTCGTGTGCGAGATTTCTTCGGCCTTCCCAGCGGAGAGTTGGGAATATTTGGACAAGAACTGATCCACTGTCATCTCACCAGATAGATCGCTGCCAGCCACGCTGCTCGATCGTTTCTGAATAGGTGGAAATGAGTTGTTCATCGGCATGGTCGCATCGGCTCAATCAAACTGATATACAGTTAAGAGCATTCCTGTAAATTACAATGCGACTAGTTTGTCAAGATGATCGCATCATGATGAAACTACCACTGAGAGACATTAGGCATTAAGTGAAAGAGCTTGAATACGGATATGTATTGCCAGAGTATCTCCAGCTTGCGCCAAGTCAATATCAACCAAGGCCTTGTGTAAATACTTGTGCCGCACGATTGCCGATTTCGTCGACTTTTTTTCGTTTTTCTGCCCAACCCTCGTGCAAATGCCACGACGATGCTTTCTTTCATCGTGGTTCAAGATGAACATGTCTGACGGGGACTTGTACAAAATTGTTTTAAAGATAATAGTAACACGATGTCTTTTTTGGGCAGTGCTGGGTTAGGAGTCCTCAAAAGAACATGGCTGGGGGGAGCAGTGAACACTGACCCTGCCTCCCATGCTGTCCGTATGCCACACGATCTGGAGCTGGATATTTCAAACAAGCAGCTGCAAGCCCCGGGGAAATTTGGATTTGATGCAGTCTCTTCCTCTTACTACCACCTTTTGGTGAGTTTTTTTTCTCATCCCAGTGTGGTTTTAGTGCTCGTTGCGAGGCACATTAGCTGGTTTTGGGTGACCTGAATCCCTTAAACGCAAATGCTGAGAAGAATTTTCGTAACTTAATTTCTAAGGCAGAACGAGGATCTGAAGTTAACGATTGCCGAAACTATAGACGTAGGGGAGGCTGGTATTAACGCAAATTATATTCATTCTGTATCCAATTAACCAAATTTAGTAAGGGATTGCTATTTCAGATTGCTATGAGATCCTGTTTCGGGCCTGCTTCCTGTTGACCCTATTCCGGGCAGGTGGCGGATCTGGCCCCTCCCCTCTCCTTAGAACTCAGGAATTGCTGGGCCGATTATGCAAACCCAAATGATGATTGATTTTCCTGAACATTTTCATTCGCAAAATAAAATTTTAAAGAACTTTGAACAGGCTGCGGGTGGGGGTGGGGAAAATACACGGAAACAAGCATTGTACCCATAAAAAGATGTGAGGTATTAATTCATCCGACATTGGTGTCACGTTTTCGACAGGACCAAGGTGGATCGATAGGCAATTATTTCCAAATTGCTCTGTCCCAAAAATATTTCAAAATTAGAATTTCCCGGCCATATGCAAGGAATGGAAATCATGGTGATTACAGAATCTTAGGAAATTGCGGTTTATGCGATTTGTCTTTGTACTAAATCGCGTAATCTTCTGTGAAATATTTTGATTTTGATTTTGCAGGTCCAGAAATCTTTGGCTCCAGTTTCGGAATGAGCTCCGTAATAACTGCATGCACATGTGCAATGATATGGATACAGAACAAGCTTTTATGGTAGTTCCTTCGTGTGGAAAATACGCCACACAAGGGTGAGAATCCCTTGCCTGCTTTCAAGTGGTAGCTCTGGACTTCGATCTATCCAATAAAGGTATAATTCTCCGAGAAAAAGTCCGTGACAAGGGTTTCCCAGGCTCGTAAGTCGGGCGGGGAAAAGTGCAGCGGCATGCGCTGCAAGAATTCCAAAGTGCGTGCAATGTGCCTGTCTAGATGTCACGATTTCCCCTATGTCAGCAAGAAGACAGCGAGGAACGGCAAAGGCTGTTGGCCACACACTGGTAAACTTGTTGAAAAAGTTGCGCTTTTGAAAAGATTTCGTAAGGGCGGTTACCAGATTCATGCGTGGTGCACGCTCCGTTATTGTCTTTGGTCGTTGCTGGCATTTGGACACGATATGAGTACATTTTTTTTTCAAAAATACATTGGCAGTCTGTTTTTTCTACGACGGTTTGCGGAGTGAGCCAAATATGACTGCACTACTTCGCAGATGGAGATATAATTCTGTTTAAGCATGTCCATGGAATATTTTAGGTGCCACCCAATTCTTTGATACGTCCACGCCTTAAAATAGAGAAGAACCCTCGCCTCCTGCCCCCTGGTGTCTGCCAGGACAACCAGTCAGCCGCCTCCGGGTCTCAGACCCTGAGACTGCTACGTACTGGAGTCGGGCGTCGCATCCAGCCGGCAACGGTTGCCGGAACGAGTGTAACTATACGGATACAAATATTAGGTAACTTGGTAAAAATAACATAATATGTGCAAACGGATTCCTAAATAATATGAGGCCCCTGTTAAAAATGACCGACCTTCAATTTATCAGAAGGTACCGGTTATTACTTATATCAAGTAAATATAAATTTAAAGGTGATTGTGTATCAGTGATGGCTGAGAAACGCATGGTTCCCACTTCAGGAATGCAAACAGTTCTATCACATCAAGAGAAAGCACAGCGCACAATGTGCCAATTGACCATCTCACCCAAACGGCTACACAAACTATCATTTGCCAGGCTTAGTCCAGTTTTACCGACGACACCCCATGCGCATTTGATATTTTGTAGATGCAAAAAAGTGGCGCGTACTCGTCTGGTAAATAACGTTATGTTAATAATGACAGAAAACCCCTCCAACGTCGTGGGTATTTCAGATAAAGCTTAAAGCAATAAAGCTCTGCATTCAGATAGCGTAAGAAACGTATGCTACGAATATCACATGACATGTCTGCATTACATAAAACGCCTGATATCTATCCTGAAATGTCGGATCGCACTAAAACGCTTACGACACACACACACACACGCACACACACACACACACACACACACACACACACACACACACACACACACACACACACACACACACACACACACACACACACACACACACACACACACACACACACACACACACACACACACCATGCGTTCTACTACTTCTTGCATAATCGCAGTGACGTGCTTGACGCTGAAATATAATGTTTATGACGTTTTATAATGACATGTTTAATGTTTTACAGCGTGTTATTTTAACATGTTGTAACATTTTATGATTATATCAGAACGACAAGTCTGACAAAAAAGCACTCTCTTAAATTGGTGGGTATTTTTTTTCTTGCAATTTAGGTCAATGGAACCACCCCAACAATGCGCAAGATGTGTTTTGTGCCGCTTCTGTGGGCATGCACAGTGGTCCCGGTGCTATAACATGTTAGCACTGGCAAAGGCTTAGAGACAGACCAGTATGCCACACCGCATCATGAGACAGCGGGGAGACGGCCTTGCCTGATGGCAGAGGCGTGGTACCATACCGCATCATGATACAGCGGGGAGGCGGCCTTGCCTGAGGGCAGCGGCACGGTACCATACCGCATCATGATACAGCGGGGAGGCGGCCTCGCCTGAGGGCAGCGGCGCGGTACCACACCGCATCATGAGACAGCGGGGAGGCAGCCTTGCCTGAGGGCAGCGGCGCGGTACCATACCGCACCATGAGACAGCGGGGAGGCAGCCTTGCCTGAGGGCAGCGGCGCGGTACCATACCGCACCATGAGACAGCGGGGAGGCAGCCTTGCCTGAGGGCAGAGGCGCGGTACCACACCGCATCATGAGACAGCGGGGAGGGAGCCTTGCCTGAGAGCAGCGGCGCGGTACCATACCGCACCATGAGACAGCGGGGAGGCAGCCTTGCCTGAGGGCAGCGGCGCGGTACCACACCGCATCATGAGACAGCGGGGAGGGAGCCTTGCCTGAGAGCAGCGGCGCGGTACCATACCGCACCATGAGACAGCGGGGAGGCAGCCTTGCCTGAGGGCAGCGGCGCGGTACCATACCGCACCATGAGACAGCGGGGAGGCAGCCTTGCCTGAGGGCAGCGGCGCGGTACCATACCGCACCATGAGACAGCGGGGAGGCAGCCTTGCCTGAGGGCAGCGGCGCGGTACCATACCGCACCATGAGACAGCGGGGAGGCAGCCTTGCCTGAGGGCAGCGGCGCGGTACCATACCGCACCATGAGACAGCGGGGAGGCAGCCTTGCCTGAGGGCAGCGGCGCCGAGGCATCCTGCGGAGCACCGTCGTGTGCGGCACGGCACGGTAACACCGGTCACTGGAGGGGGGGGGGGGGGGTGGCAGACTGGTATCACGAGACTCCCTCATTACATGGGTCCTTATTGGCGCCGGTTGCATCAGTTTATGAAATATACAGGCCACTGTAAGTATAATTGTATAGCCGACTTAAGACAAGGAGGGACTTTATCTCAAAAATCGCAGGCTGGATCCAACCAAACATCACAGATCAAAGAAGAGGTGATGTCAAAGTTGGAGATACGAGAGTGCTATTTTCGTATTGACGCTCTATTCGTGGTGCGATATCCCAGCTGCGTTATTCGCCAGACGTGTTATGCCACTCCTGTTAGCGCAGCAGTTTGTATAATCACCAGAACATCACCTTCCAGGCATGGTCGCCAAATATCACTGAAGTTTTTCCAAATACCGGACCTTAGAGTCGCCTTTACTCAAACATATCCCGGTTTGGTTTACGCAATACGGAAAAAATGAAAGATCCTGAAAAAGTACGAGTATTTCAACGGTCTGCTCTGAACGTTGTGGAGAGCCTAGCTAAAACCCGGAAGAGAGTGGGCGAAATCCGCCTGCTGCTCGTGGTGCGTGCAGGGCTGCGCTTCCTGACTTCATGGAACATGCCCACTGAGGTCGAAAGATAAGCATGCATGCAGCTAGCTAGGTTGCCCAATGTAGCGTGTCCGATGTGGGCTGCAAATACGTTCTTCTTGAACGCCTTTTGAATAGGTTATTTGCATTGACTGTTCTCGCTGAATTCACTCATGAAACTCCTTACAGGATATCATGCGTGTAGATGTTTGATGCCGGTTGTTGTCTTTGCTTTGCTGGTTTTTTTTTAATTGCCAGATTTATTTCGTGTTGATTATGTGCGCCCAGCTCATTTATCTTGTGCGCTTGTTGATAACCGGCATGAGGTATATGCAAATCTTAAATACATTATAGATAATACTAATGATAAATAATGCCTAAAGGTACAGCATAAGCACACATGCAAACGCTACGCACAACACTTAAATCCAGCGGCAACCTTGCGATGTGGAATTCAGCGCATTATAAAGCTCAGTTGCTCATCTTGTTCGTCGATGCCTGGCTGACATCCGGCCGGCGATTTTCATCCATCCAATCATTTCATCCATCCAAGACATCCATCCAAACCATTGACAAGCCGCCAGCTGGCCTATCGCCTCTGCCGTGGCCGAAGCGTCATATTGCTGGTCACGGATTTAGTCAGCCTTTTCAAAATTTTAGTAAATTACAATGGTTCTTGGTGACTGTGGTGTGTCTTCTCGTGCCACGTTAAGTGATGCCGAACTAGTCCAGCGCATTACTGCAGGGTTTCTTTTTACCGGCAGCCAAAGCCGGCTTTGTCGCAGAAGAGCTTTTCAATAAAGCATCGAGTGTACAATCAGCAAGGAGGTCTTATCCCACTAAAGCTGGCCTGTTGTGTCTCCACACCGCGGAAGGATACCAAACGACGAAAGCTGGCCAGTCGCACCTCTACGTCGCGAAAGGATTCCAAACCACTAGAGCTTGCAAGTCCACACTGCGGATCAGTGGCAAAGCCGTGAAAGCTGGCAACTTTGAAGTCGAAACTTTCCGTGTTTTGCATGCATCAAAACTCGGCAAAGTCACTAACTAAAATGCTAGGTACGCCGCAAAGATGTCTGGCGTTGAAACATAGTCCATTGTACATGCTTTCGTAAAGCACTTAGTGTTAAACTGGAGCTTCGCGATGCGTCATGAAATACCTGAAGGTTTATTAGCAAACACGTTGTGAAACATTGTCCATTTATTTCAGTAAAACGCAGTGCACCGCGAGCATCATATCGCTGATCATTAGGCAAAGAACGGATGTCAAATTCCGCGAGTTTAAACACAATGTAAACACAGGTTCCCAAGTACCATCTACCAGAGTAGCGATGCGGTTCCATATGCATTCATCATTCGGTAGGTTACAAGGACACATTTCAGCATCAGCAAGTCTGTGTCTTTGTTGTGCGAATGAATGCTACGATTGGAGGTGCACGGCTCGCGCAAAGCAAGAGCAGCAGCGCAATTCATACAGCATAACGTTAATAATAGTAATGCCAGAAGCGGCGGGCAACGTTATACGACGAGCGTTTATATAAGACTAGGGAAGCTCAATGGAATACGACCTTAAACTCAGATTCTCTGCAACTTTGGTCGCCAATTTTAGCAGCACAGAATTAGGTTACAGGCTGCTTTTTAACCAGAAGGCTGGGATGGTCCAACAGAAGGCAGCAACTAGGTGAGTTGTTGCATGTGGCTGGGCAAGGTCGACTGGTCCGCCGTCAGCGTCGGCCGAGCAGGGCCGGACGGCGGGCGCCGCGTGTGGCGGGAGTCGGCGGTCGGTCCAGTCCGGTCTGGTCCGGTCCGGTCTGGTCTGGTCCGGTCCGCTGCTGTGCTGGTACCGCCGTCAGTGGGAGGCGGAAGGGCCGGCCACCGCCGCTGCTCGCTGCGGACTGAGGTCGCGCCGCAGCAGCTGGTCGCGGGCCACCGGCCCCGCCACCGCCCCCTCCGGCAATGCCAGGCGCACGCCCCGACCTCCGGCACGCCGCGGCTGCTTCAGGTCCTCACGCTCGTCCAGGCCGTTCCACAGGCTCTTCAGCAGCAGGACCAGGCCCACCTCAGAGTTGGCCAGCTGGTCGGCCTGCGGGTGACGGGACAGAACCGTCGTCGGACTACAGACCCGGCAGCGGGCTCACAGGCGGCGACGCTGCGTTCGGTGTAACACGCGGCGCTAACGAACGCTCGGAGCTGAATTACGAGTGCATCGTCAATGCTCTGTGATTTGGCAAGAATGGGTTTGCATACGCCGCGGCTGCTGCTGATGAACCACTGACGCTTTCAATTTTAATCATGATTGGTTCTTAGGGCAGGACTGTTCCCCTCAAATCACGTAACTGAAGGCTTTGTAGGCTTTGAGAGTGGCATCGCCCGCTTACCAGCCACTGTGCCATCGGAGACTGGCTCAGCGAGCTCAGCAGTTTGGCGATGGCTCCATCCCCATTTTCGATGTAGTCACGAAGTGACCTGACCAACGACATCAGACTGCGTTCCAGTCCAGTTACCTGCAGAAACAGCGCGTTGGTCAGTCACCACCGTCCCAACTTGTCGCCCCTCGCAGTGTCAGTGACGACGAAGAGCAACTTACTTAGCATTACCACTCCGAAGATTCCTGAACATTCATACATTCGTGCGATGTCAAAGCACCCAGCCGCTGTAAAGCTCAGAGGCAGTGGCGGGGCGTGTTGTACCAGCACCAGGCAACGACTGGCCCAGAACGGAGACGTACATCTGGTGTCCCTGTCCCGAGGGTAAGACACGCGGGAGAAGCGAGAGTGGGGACGACGCTCCTCACTCTTCCAGCCGCGACATCACAACCGTTCCTTCCTCTTCCCTCTCCCCAGACGCCTAAGACAAGCATGTCTTAGAACTAAACATCAGAACAGCCCTGGTGGCCCATCCGTAGGAGGCGGCACGTGGGAGCACCATGACCCGCTGCAGCGGACGGCACTGTGGCTTGGCGGCTCGGAATGGCTCTGTCAGGTTGGGGCGCGTGGCGCGCCGCCACCGGCCCGGCGTCCTGTGCCATGGGAGGGACGACCGGTGAAGGACAAGGTCGGAAGAGGGTCTGAGGGGGAGGGGCCTCTGCTGTCTCTCGGTTGTAGCTGGGGCCGTGGGGCGGCAGGGGCGCAGGAAATAGAGACTGCGCCGCAAAATGTGGCCGCTGGGGAGCTGAACTGAGCAGAGGCGCCAACAACCCACGGTGACAATGACTTCACGCCGGTCCCAGAGACCCGTCCGGCGCTCCTGCATCGACACGTGCGGTCCGCTCCGGAGAGAACACAGTGGCTGGACGCCCTGATCAAAGCGCTCCTGAGCCGCCGCCGCGGTGTTGGTGGCATGCTCATTGCAGCCGTCAGCAGCCTGCCACCGCCGGAAAAACGTGCGGTGGCGTGGCCGGACGGCCGAGCGCAGAGGGTGGTGTCCGTACACTGTGGCGTGGCCGGACAGCCAAGCGCAGGGGGTAGGACGGCCGAGCGCAGGGGGGGATGTCCGTACACGACCCGAGCGGGGCACCGGCCGCCACCTCACGGGGCATTTCGCAGCTCGAGAACGCTCGGGGTATACGCGTTAGTGTCGAGGTCGCCTGACGCCATGCTCTTTTGGATGAGCTGTTTGACGGCTTTGACTTCCGCCTCAGCGTGCTCATTGCGCCGGTGGTAGTGCGGCGTAGGCATCTCTTGGGTGACGCCCCACCGCCGGAAAGGAAGTCACGCGTGACGTATGGCGAGTACTGAGGCCTGCCGTCACTGCGGATCACGCTCAGAACACAAGTGCTCGCGAAGATATCGTGCAGCGCGCGAGCCAGTGCACGCGCGGTGGCCTTTCGGCGGCAGTCGGCTACTACCGGACTTTGCGTACACTCTACCTATTGGTGAGGAGCTCCAGTTCAATAGCCGCGTACCTGGACTCTATGCCCGACAAGAACCGAGACCCTCATAGCACTAGCTTTCACCCAGAGCCGTGAAACTGGAACAGAGCAAGCCGGAGCGCTGCGAGCCGCACTGCATCTGTGTGTGGTGCCATGGCATCGTCGGATCGAAGAAGGCCAGGACCGGGGGCTTGACGAGCGTGTGTTTCACGTCTGCGAGGGCCTGATCACGGACGACAGTCCACTCCCATACGCGGGCCAGCTTGAGCAGGTCACGAAGGAGCTCCGCTGCTTTGCCCGTTTGAGCCGAGAAGGCTCCGAGCTCGTTGGCCAAACCGCGAAGGCACTCCTCAGGCCAGTGATGCTTGCTAGCGCCGGGAAGTCAGCAAACACCCAGCTTGCACTGGTCCGGGGTAAAGCCGCATTTTCGGTGGTGATAGCCGCAGTAATTCACTCCGTGAACACCATTTCTCTGGGTTCAGAGTGATTCCGTGGGCACCGCAGCGTTGCAGGATCTCGGTGACCTGCTGCAGATGAGGGACGTACGTCTAGTTGCGCGCGAGGACCCCATTCACAATCTTGCGTTGTTCTAGATTTGGTCCTCGTTAGCGACAAGTATCTGAAAGTGGCCGGATTTGACGTCCATCTTGGTGAAGTACCGCGACACTCTGATGATCCCAGACACGGCATCATGTGAAGTGCATACCGGATGGGCACCTCTGCATACAAATCAGTTAAACATTGTTAGGCCCACACACAGGCGAACCGAAAGCCCAGCATCGGTTGTCGGCGGCTGGACGGTTAGTGGACCAGCATCATGGAGGTTGGTAGCGGTCCGTGGGGTACGTGGAGTCACCTGGACGATTATCCCTTTATCGGCCAGGTCGTCCATCTGGCTTTTGGTTTCATTTTCCGTCATGCATGGGGTATGACGCAGCCGGCTGTCGCGACGCATGGCTGCGTGTCGGCAGTCAGCTCGACCAGTATGGGACCGCCTGCTGTTCCCCGAACGGTGCCACCGGAAGCACGGCCTATAGGGTCGCCAGCTGTTCGGCCCGGATCTCCGGAGAAGGGTCGGGACCGTCTGCCGGCCACGTGGGACGCAGCGGCGCACGCGGGTCGACCGTGCGAGCCGTCCGCGTCGGCGAAGTGGTGGCCTGCTGAGCGGGCGCGGCGGGAGGAACGATTCGGCCCCCGGTGGCTACGGGCGGCGACGCGCCCGGGCCGGCCCCGTCAGCGCCTGGGCCAACAAGGGTGTCGGAACGACCTGGTGCGACGAAGACGGGCGGGCGACGAAGCACGGGCTGGTCCATTAGCCCCCGCCGTGATGAAGCGGGCTATAAACACTCTAGATTTGTTGCGGGAATCCTGCGGGCAGGATGGCCAGCGCAACACAGTCTGTCCACGACAGAAGGGTGCTTCTGTCGAAGTCGTTGGCGACCACGGTCCGAGTAAACGTGGACTTCGCGCCGGCTGCAGGTCGCACCAGAACGTGACGATGGGCCGGCCAACGGATGAGCGCCGGCGGGCGAAATCCGGTCGGCAGTGGACGACAAGCCTCTGATGTCCGACGCCGAGTCGCGTAGCCGGCCTTCGGTCCGATCACTGAACTGAAGCGGCCGAGTCCGGCGGCCCACGGCAGCTAGCCGTGGACCTGGCCGAGGGCCCGCCCGGGCGTGCACGCGTAGGTGCCGGCCGGGCCCGAGACGCTCTGTAGGCGTCTGCCCGAGGCTAACATCTGACCGGGGCTCGGACAGCGCATGGACTGCTGTGTATACAGCTCTTTCGGGCACTGCGACTCCGCGTGGTGCTGGTCTGGATGCCGTCGGCCACCGGGGAGTTGCGACGGAACAGCTGCTCGACGTAACCGCGCTGGTCGCACTTCTAACAGCTGTAGCGCCGGGCTGGGCATGACTGAAGCTGCTCGGGTGTGTGCCAGTCGCCGCCGCATCTTCCACAGAGCTTAGATGGGGCTCCTCGGAGCTCACTGACTGACGCGCGCCACGAAAAGCCGACACGGATTAGATGAGGCCTCCCCGCAGCATGCCTCACAGTCCAGCTAAGAGTCTTCACACGCCTGACAGATGTCTTCGCAACTGCAGCAGCCTCAGCTCGAGCTCACTGAGGAGAGCGTGCATCGTCTCTTCGTCGCGCACGCCCACGACAAGCCGGTCACGGTGTAAGCGTGCCAACACAATGAGGGCCACAGGCTGCAAAACTTGCTGGCTGAATGGCCTTTGCAGACTGGTGAAAAGTCAACAGTGATTGCTATTGGCTTACTGGTTGCATATAGAACCCCCGCCTGTCCAGTAGCACGCAGCGCTGACGGCTGGGATGGCTTGCTATGGCCGTGATCACAGCCTGGACGTCGCTGTTTGCCGGAAGGTCCAGGCTGAACGTGGCAGTCCGCACCCACCCGTCGTCCAGCAGGCTGTACAGCGAGATGCGGGCTCGTTGACGGGCAGAAGACTGAGCTTGGTGGGCTTGACGAAGCCCTGGACTTTGGCTTCCTAAGTCGTGAACTCCAGCAGGCTGGCGTGGGCTGTCAGGAGCGACGGGACGGGGCCAGACATCCGTGGCTTGGCTGGCGGGGCCGTCAGAAGCGGCGGGACGGGGCCAGACATCCGTAGCTTGACTGGCGTGGGCCATCAGGAGCGAAGGGACGGCGGATATCCGTGGCTTGGCTGGCGTGGGCCGTCAGAAGCGGCGGGACGGAGTCAGACATCTGTGGCTTGGCTGGCGTGGGCAGTCAGGAGCGGCGGGACGGGGGCGGGTATCCGTGGCTTGGCTGGCGTGGGCCGTCAGGAGCGACGGGACGGGGCCAGACATCCGTGGCTTGACTGGCGTGGGCCGTCAGGAGCGGAGGGACGGGGCCAGACATCCGTGGCTTGGCTGGCGTGGACCTTCAGGAGCGGCGGGACGGAGCCAGACATCCGCGGCCTGGCTGGCGTCGGCCGTCAGGGGCGGTGGGACGAGGGTGGGATCCGTGGCTTGGCCGACGCGGAGTCAGAAGCCGTCCGCGCTTGGCCGCCGAGGCAGGTGTCGAGGCGCCTGGCGCATCCTGCTCGGATGGTGGACCAGGTGGGTGCAGCTGCAGGCTCTGTAGCCTCTGCATGGCCTGCGCGAATGTCTCCGCCAGCCGCTCCTCGCGCTCTTGGGCTTCGGTGGCTTGAACGCGCACCTGTTCGGGCAGGCTGTCCAGAGCAGTCCGCACGGCAGGGTGCCTGGCCGAAGCTGGAGGCGTAGCGCCTTTCACGGAAACGGCCGTGTCAATGGTCATTCATAATTTCACCG